AGAGGAGACGAGAGGAGACGAGAGGAGACGAGAGGAGACGAGAGAAGAGAAGAGAAGAGAAGAGAAGAGAAGAGAAGAGAAGAGAAGAGAAGAGAAGAGAAGAGAAGAGAAGAGAAGAGGAAAGAAAAGCACCCACGGTTTCAAGGAATAAACACTCCTTTTTAGTAGTAAAACATAAAACCAAGACTCAAGGAGCATGGCCATTCATTGTAGCTTGGATGCAACATTTTGTCTAAAGTAGAGAAATAGTAAAATATTTTACTAAGTTAAAATATAGGTTTTATATTTTATACCACATCGAGCACACACATAAAAATACCAGTGTTTTTATCTTGGTTCTGTTCAGACACGTAAGCAAATGTGTTCTTTGGTGTCTGGGAATTTATCGATATTTAGGGAAAATTGAAGATAAGAAGCCCCAAGGTGACACGTGTACAAATAGAAGACTCAAAATCCTATAGCGTATAAGAATCAAAAGCAAACTTAGAAGTTCAAGTTATGCTGTAACTAGGCTGATACATACTCAGTCCCCAAAATCATACTTTAGCTTCCCAAGTAAAAATCACCACAGCCTATTACACTTTAATCTTTGTTTTTGAGATTTCTTTTCAAGTGGAAACATATCCCAGATAGAAATATATCACTTTAAGTTTAAAATCATCAAAGTCAACAAAGAGAATGTACATTCATTAAATGTATTCATTTACAAAAGAAATCTTGAAAAGGCTGAATTCAACTGAAACTGAAGACTTGTTCTTGATTTTTCATTATTCCTTTTTTAAACATGAGTTAGTATAGACATAGTATACACACAGGCTGACTTTTAACTGATTTAATAGTTACTTCCCTTTGATGGGGCTTTGAAGTTCTAGAGTCTAAAATTTAAAACCATTCATGACAGTATTTTCCAGTAAAAGGAATCATAGAGCAATGAAAAATCAGAAGCAAGATGGCTTAAAGAGCCTAATAACTTCTAAATATACACACATTTATAACCTGTATTTATTTCTAAAGAAACAAAATTTAAGTAATGCTAATTTTAACCAATAGAGAAAAAGCTTCTATCAAAATATACAATTTCCATTACAGACTAGAAGGCTAATATTAAAAAAATAGTTGTAAGCCAAAAAAGTTTGCTTGTATGGATGGGAGGCAATGCCCCTTCGAAGCACACAGCATCAAACAAGGTCTTAAAAAAGACTGCTCTGTGGCCTTCTTCATTTGTTAAGTTCTTGATGAATTCATAAAGCTTGGGTCTCAGTCTGTAGATCAAGCTATATCCATGCTTCTTAAACCAAGTTTTCAGAAAAGGAGAAATCATAAGATTCAGAATCTCAAATGGGATTTATGCTTTACCATGTACCTGGAGGGGAAATAGAATAATGGATTATGATGACAATATGAAAATATAACAAGGGATTATGATGACAACACAAATTTTAAAATTTTAAGCGTACTACATGTAAAAAGGGGTAACTTCTTTTTTGTAACTTAAAAATCACTAAGGGACAAAACACTGAAAACTAGATTCTGTGGCTTCTTAAAAAATAGTATGCAAAAAAAATTCTCATTAAATTCTATAACCCAAGAGCTTACTGGAAGTATGTCTGTCTTTACACACTATCAGTTATATCCATAGAGTTACCTCATGACTTTCAGAAAGCTGACACAATTCAGTGAGACATACCAAACAAGATAATTTTCAGGGAACACAACGAATGACAACTGAGCTCAAAGTATTATGATAATTCACTCTTCTTATATTTATAAATTACAGAAGTTATTTTTAAAGGACTTAACGACTCCATTTTAGTAATTCAAATAAATATAAAAACTAAATTCTTTCACAAGCTTTCAGGGGGGAGACTCAGAGGTCACCTGACTCCAGGAGCCCTGAGCCGGTAGAAAATGAAGTTCAGAAAGTTACACAGTTCATGAGAGCAAGACCACAAAATCTTTGTCTTCTCACACAGAGTTTAATGTGCCTTCTATCAGACTCTAAACTCTACATATTAAGTCAATAAATCAATCTATTTGTCAATCATGAATTATTATGTTGGCATCAAATCAGACAATATTCAAAGCAAAGAATTACAAACTATATCATAACTTTGAAGATTTTAAATTCTGATAAAAATCACTCAAATAAAGCATGTATGAGTATATTTTAGAAACACAATTACCTATCCAATGTTTCCCAGAAACGTAAGAAAACTGGTCTATCCAAATGACGCTTATGATAGCTGAGTTCTAATACTGTTACATCCCATTTTTGAACATTTGGATCTAGACGAACTTCATCATACTTGAGATGGAAAGCTTTAACTACATGGGGAACAGGGAGGAAAAAAAATAACATTCTTATTAAAACTAAGGCAAAAAGTATGGAAACACTTTCTGGAAAGAAAGTATGTATAAACATAAATACCAAAACAAACAAAAGTTCTTATCTTTCTACTACCAACTGAAGCTACATTAACATTACAACCTGTGAAACAACTGTTAAGCATATGGTACCATCAAAAACACTTAGGGTCAAACAAACAGTGAAGGTGGATACAAGTTAGCTACTAGAGACTGAAATACCAAATAAGGTAAAATAAAATTCATGATTCAATGAATAATAGTAAGAAAAAGACAGCTCAATTACAGTATAGGAAGGGCAGTACAATATGCTTATTTCTAGATATACATCACTTAGTGTATGATGAAAGGCTCTTTGTTTGGTAAACACATATATAAAATGTTGTTTCACTTAGATTTTTGTGGTTTTGTTTGTTTGTTTTTAAACTACACAACTGTTATTATCACCATCATCACCTGGTGTCAGGGTTTCCTAAAGAGAAAACAAGTGACTAAAAATTTACTATGATTGTAACCTTGTAGACTGCTTATTTCATTGCATATTGGCATTTTTGTTTTGTTTTGTTTTTCTTGAGACAAGATCTCTGACTGCAAATTCACAGCTAGCCATCTTCCCACCTCAGCTTTTCAAATGCTAGGCTTACAGACATGAGAGAGACACCATGTCTACCTTACACACTGGTTTGTGACATTAATAACTAATCAAGGCTCAGTTCTTCAAATAAAATTAAAATGAATAAATGAAAGGTACATAAAAATTACTAAAAACTATTTTCCTTAAAAACTAAATTTTACAACTGCACACTTAATTAAAACAATTCACTAAGGAATTCTGTGTTATACTTGAAATGACCCATTTTCAGCAGGGTATAGTACACACACCTTTAATCGCAGCGCTTGGGAGGCAGAGGCAGGTAAATCTCTGTGGGATGAGGCCAGCCTAGTCTACAGAGTGAGTTCTAGGACAGCCAGAGCTGTTGCACAAAGAAGCACTTTCTTGAAAACAAAGAAAAGAAAAACCCATTTTCAAAATATATTATAAGTAAACAGGTTTTTTTTTTAACTTTCTGCATTTATAGCTGGAAGGTGGAATCACACACCTTTAATACCAGCACCCAGCAGGCAGAGGCAGAAGAATCTCTGAGTTTGAGCCCAGCCTGGTCTACAAAGCAAGTTCCAGGACAGCCACGTGTAAACAGAGAAACCCTGTCTCGAAAAACAAATAAAACTGTGAAATTGCTGCATGAAATACACATTAACATTTCTAAATACTTTCGTTCTGCTTACGACAACCTTTATTTTTCTAATGTTAGCTGCTTTGCTTTAATGGGCTGCTTACACTACATTTGAAGGGCTGGGTGATGGCTCAGTCAGTAAACAGCCTGTCACATGAGCCTGGGGACCTGAGTTAGTATCGCTCACACTCACATAAAAATTTGGGCTTTGTGTCTGGAGTACAGAGGAAAGGCAGATAGATCCCTGAAGCTCATTGGCCGGCCAGATTAGTCACAATGATGAACTAAAGGTTGCTTCAATGAGAAGAAACCTTGTCTCAAAAAACTAAAGCATGGCTGGCATGATGACTCAGCTGTTAGAGGCACTTGCTGCAAAGGCTTAACAACTGAGTTTGATCCCCAGAACACTCAGTGGAAGGAAAAAAAAAAACCTATTCTTTACTCTCTAGGGAAAGCTGTCTGACTTCATGAAATGAGTCACAGACTCTGTGTGCACACGCGAACGAACACACACATACCAATTCTTTGTCTCTCCATACCATACACATACACATATATTCAGTCTCATTTTTTCTCTGGCACACATACACACTAACAAGAGTAAAGATTAAAATACTTGGTGCCAAACTCCATTTACAAATACATTCACGCATACATATGCATATACTCACCTGAACACATGCATGCATCTCCACTAAATACATATTAAAAATTAAAAGCTTTAAATACAATGATTTACATTTAAAATTATTTGTATGCTATGAATTCTTTAATAATTAATAATTTTTAGTTATTTACTTCTAATCTAGACTTTTTAAACTTAGTAGCATAGTAAGAAAGAAAATAAATAATTAACAAAATGGGGGGAACCTTATTTATTTCAGTTTTGGGGGGCAGGGTTTCTTTGTGTAGCCATGGCTGTCCTGGTTCTATTGCAGGTACCAATAATGCAAAGCAAACATGCCAGCACATTAACAAAAAATGTATTTATGACTCAGAAAAACCTACATTTTCTAAGCTTCTTCAACTAAAAACAAAAAACATTATGTAGTGACACAATGAATGCAAAATAATTCATGTGCCTCAGAATAACACCATCTTTAGGCAAAAATTCATAAACTTTGCGAAACTTTTCAGGAGGGAACAAAATGGTATCCTTTTGATAAACAGATACACTAATGGAATACCATGATGAAGAGAAGATACTGTAGAGATTCTAAAAATTTAATAGTAACCAGCAAGAATTTGAAGAAACTATCATTTAAAAAAATCTCTGAGGAATAATGCTAGAGATGGCATGGTGGTTAAGAACACTTGCTATTCTTCCAGAGGACCTGGGTTCTATTCCCAGTACCTACAGGGCAACTCATAAACACCAGTAAACTCCTGCTGCAGGGAACACAATACCCCCTTCTGGCCTCCATGGGTAGAAGGCACACATATAAAAATGCGGGCAAAACACAAATAAATGTAAAAAAATAAAATAATCTTTAAAATCTTGAGAGCTGAAGATACAATGCTTGCCTTAGCATGCAAAGTCAAGGATTCACTCCAGAGCATTCTAGTGGGGGGATGGGGGACAATTTTCATCAACAAATGTATACAGCTACTCACACATAAAATATTAAGCTATAAATTAAAATTTATTATACTTTTTAAAGGATTTTATTTGGAAACTATATAATTCAGTATCTAATATTTTTGCTAAAATTGATTATATCACAATTATGAAATATTAAGTTACTTTTTACTTATAGTTCATAAAATACTGCCCAAACTTCCTGGTTTCTCTTATGCTACACAAGTAATTAAATTCTCTACTACGTAAAAGCTGAGAAAAGTACTGTAATGGTTAATTTATCAACTTGAAACAAACTAGAATCACCTCAGGAGAGTCTTAATGAGGGATTTTCCACCCTGGGTTGGCCTGTAAGTCTATGGTTAACTGACGTGCAAAGAACCAGCCCACTATGGGCAGCACCATTCCCTGGGCCACAAGTCCTAAACTGCATAAGCATAAAGAAACCTGTGGTGAGCATAAGCAAGCATGAATGCATTCGTTTCTCTCTGCTCTCTACTATGAAGGTTCTGTGTTGTCCTCCCTATGACAATGAACTGGAGCCTAAATTATAACATGACATAAATATATTTTCCCTCTAAACTGCTTTTTATTGAGGTATTTTATTATAGGAACACAAAAAAAGAAAAAACTAGGACAAGCACTAAGAGCTAAAGACAATAAAATTCTAGTTTAGGCAAATCACAAAAACAAAAACAAAACAACTAAGCCGGAGATAAAAAGGGTGAAGAGAGTAAATCAATTAACTGGTGTCTCTTGGAATGGAGTGTCATATTCCTACAGAGCATTACCAAGTATTTATCAGTTAGTAAGACACACAGTCCTACAATGTTGAGATAAAAGACATTTTTATAAAGTGGGGAGAGAAAAAAATCAGAAATGTGAGCTGGGCATTATGGAATATATGCCTTTAGTTCCAGCACTCAGGAGACAGAGACAGTCAGATCTACATGAGCTGAAGGTCATCCTGGTCTACAGAATGAGTCCCAGGACAGCCAAAGCTATTACACAGAGAAACCCTATCTCAAAAAAACAAAACAAAACAATTGAAAATGTAAGATTTCCTTAAGAGGGTATTCAGAATTTAAAGAGAAATGATAACTTAAAATGTATAGCTGAAAGAACTGTCAAAACCAAAACCAAACAAAAAACTTTAAGACCAAATGAAGTCCAGTACTTGAAAACAAGCATTTTACAAAGCAAGAAATGAGTCAACACAGTACAATTCTGATAGGAGGTAAAAGCTATCTAATACTGGAAGGTATAGAAAAACAATTTAGTGAAAGAGCCAAGCTATAGTGGCTTGAGAACTGAGCACAAAGTTTGTAGAGATAATTCTTTCACAGAGTAGTTAAAAAAAACAGGGTGTGATATCAAGTACATAGTTTGGTTTTGTGATTCATTTAAATATGAAGGCAAACATTTCTAACCACTGCCAAAAAGGAGCCAGTATGAAAGCAACAATGAAGACAAAGAATAATGTGCAGAATAAAATCATTGATTACTGTTAAATTCTCAGCATCCTTATTTACCTTGGGAGAACAATAATCTCAACAACTGAAATAAACGCATTATACCCCTAATAAAATTCAGAGTCTTTTTACCTTAAGGATAACCTAATCATCCTTAAATGATAATTAACAAGGAAAGATTTTAAAAAAGAAAAACCACGAAAACAGGTACTTGCATTCATTAACACATTGCCATTCTCTCCATATATTTAACTTTCTATGCGTCAACTCTATGCATTCCCCAGAAATGACATAAAAAGTTATCATAATATCAGCAATACCGCAACTTATCTTTATAAGCAGACTGAGGTTTTAAAAAAAAACAAATTATTAAAATTTTAATTTTAGGACAGAATGGCATTACGAATAAAAATGGGCTGCTAAAATATCTGGACTGCATAATATTGTAATTTATATTCAAAATAAGTTGTTACTGATTAAATACCTTTTTAATTATTTTTATTAATTAATAAATTTTAATTAACTTTATTAACATTAATATTTTAATTGGGTGTGTCAACTAAGTCATAGCTGGATCATCCCTTCCACCTAATAGACTAATCTACTGTATCAATTTATACCAATGTATGCTCAACAGGTGATTTACTACATATGAAATAATTCATTCATAGGATACTTATTGAAGATCTCCTTGTATCTGGCAGTCTTTTGTTGAGAACACAAAGGTGAACGAATGAATAAAGCAGAAATGGGCTGCTCCTACTGTGGTACTTGCAATCTTGCCAGGCAAGACTTCCGATAAAAAGATATAAAAATTAGAAGTTGCCAAGAAACAAGCACTATTAAGAACACTCCAAAGGTAGAACACTTGAGCTGAGAGAACTGAATGAAGAAGAAAAGTAGCTGATAAATGCCTGGACATTTTAAGTCATTGCTGATATACAGTAAAAGTCAACCTATATAAAACTTAGGTATTGCTTGGTATATGCAGACATAGAAACATCAGTGAAAAAGCATTAATTTATATAATCTACATTACATAGAGCTAGTTATCAATCTTAATAAATATGTACAGGCATATTGAATTATTAATAATGTTAATAACCTAAAATATTTAGCAATGTAACATGCAGGCAACACTCATATATTAATGTACAAAAGGCTTTAAAAATACCTCACAGGTGGTTAAAGGTTAGTATTGTATGGTAGTTAATGGCAATCCTTTGTTACATTCATATTCAGGATGACTTACATGTGACTCTTTCTTTTAAAAACTAATTCTATATTGAATAAGCAATAAACATATGGAGAGAGAATCTTACTTTTAGCAAATATGTCAACTGGTGATCCATCAGGTAGAAGCCATGGCCATCCTTTGAACTGCCAAGCAGGACCTTGAACAAAAACAGCCACAACCCGATCCCTACAAGCAGAAAAGAGGAAGTGGAAGAGATCAGAATACCTCAAACTTGAGCTTTACCTATTGCAAACTCTCATAATTACTCAGGTGACAGTCTTCCCAGCAGTCCTCTTGGTGAGACAAACATAGCTGACTTGACATTTTAGTATGATGGTAGGATATAAACCTTAATGGCCCTGATCCCTACATAAGTCTTCTGAAGACAGGTGCAAACAATAGTTTCAGGTCATCTTTGTAATCCCTTTTTCTTCCCTTAAGTAAAGAGTCTAACTCACAGTCTGGAATGCAGATCAGTAGATGATTTATTAATTGAACAAACTGATTTTAAATGGAAGTTACTAGAAATTCAAGTACATTTAAATATTTAAATTTAATTAAAATACTAAATTATAAGAATTTTCCAGTCACTTTATAAAACTCCAAGACTTCTTTTCAAATCCTCTGGTTCCTTAGGAAGAAATCTGAGTATGAGACAACTATTTTATTTACCATAATTGTTAGTTTGGTTTTAAAGCAACTCATTTTTTTCAGCTATACAAACTAGTTTTCCAAGAAAGAACAAGTCTCTTTCTAAGTCCCCATATATCATTATTTTGCACAATATTTAGTTAAAATTGCATAGTGTTTAGTTAAAAATTCTAGTTAAGAATGATGGTTACTAACCATTAGTAACACTGACTAAAGTATTTGCTAAGTGACAGCATTGTTTTAAGCACATTATAAATTAACCATGTTAATACATTTCATCTTCAAAGCACTCTGGTGAGGTGAATACCCCATTTTCAGATGAGGAGACAAATATATGGCTATGTTAAAGAACAGTCCACTAAACAGAAGGCAAAGAGAAAGGGGGGGAGGGAATGAAGGAAGGAGAATAATGATTAATCTTGGGTACTGGATAGAAAAGTTCCATTTAAGAACTGATCTATCAAGAGAATAATCACTCAAATATTACTAAGGAAATAAGTAGCTCTTTAAAAGGTCTTGATGATTGATGCCCAAAGATCTTCATACCACACATTAATAATCACTGCCTTAGACAAAAGTTCTATACATCTATCAAAACAATTAACCAGTACTCTGTTCAAGACCTACAGTAAGCCAGGTGTGGAATTAATGCCCATAATCAGTTTTCAGGAGGCTAAAGCAAAAGGACTACTGTGAGTTCAAGCCCAAATTGGAGAGAGGCCTTGCTTCAACAGACATATACACACAACCCCCACACAGTGACAACTAGCAAAGTCAATGAGGAAAACAGCAACCATAAAATTCCTATGCATCTCAAAGTTTCTGAGGCTAAAATTAAATCATAAGCAAAAACTTTTCTTTCTGTGGAAAATATACCCCAAACTTTCCAAAACGAGTAGAGCACACTACTAAATAAGATGTCACTTATACCATATAATATTTATGAGAGAAACATATTACTAGAATGTCAGTATTATTGGTATACATTTTCATATGCATTAATAAATTTTCCAAGATAATTTCTATTTAGATTCCATTATAAAGTATGATATTTGTTTGTATCATTTAAAATATGGGCAGGCAAGATAGCTCAGCAGGTAAACGTGCTTGCTACCAAACCTGACAACTGCAGTTTGATGCAGAACATGCATGGTAGAAAGAGAAAAACCAACTCCTGCAGTTGTCCTGTAACCCCTGCATTCATACCATAGCATACTCATACACACAAAATAAATATTAAAAAACCTTTTAGATGCAAACAAAACGTTAATGCTGAGAGAATGGGGAGGGGGTATCTTACCAGTCCTGAGGCATAAGTTTCAGGGGCTGGTCTACTACTCTATAAGGTACTGTGACACTAATTGCTGTGCCCCCTGGTTGCATCTGATCTTTTCTTCTCTGTATTAGTGTTTCATTTTCTCGTTGACAACCTTGTTTCTTCTTTTCATCTGATGGAACAAACCTTTGAAAAAGTAAAGATACACAATATAATGAAACTAGAAAAATATATTTTCAAATAATTTTTGAAATGTTAATATTTCAAGCTAAGATGTTTGCCTTTATGTGTACATCTCAAGAGTTGGAAGAGTATGGGTCTTTTCTTTCTGTTTTGTTTTGATCTTGGTTTTCAAGGCAGGGTTTCTGCATAGCCTTGTCTATCCTGGAACTAGGAATGCAGAGCAGGAGGGCCTCAAACCAGCTTACCTCCACCTCCCTAGTACTGGAATTAGAGGCATGTGTCACCACTGCTGGCTAGTCTTGACTTTGTATACCAAAAAGAAGCAGTATTTCACGTGTACCCTATGTCCACATATAAATAATGTGTATTCACTAGTAAGCACTCAGTAGTTATAACACTAATTTTATTTCTCAAATGCTATTAATTACAAGAAAGCATGATGATAAATCAAAAAGTCGTTTTAAAGGAAGGTATTTCTGTGCTTGGATAGGATTATACACTGGGAGATTCAACTTATACCAAATTTCACAAAATATTTTAAAAAAACTTCTACACTTTTATATTTCAGAAAAATTAGAAAGGTGGCAAACTATTTAATATTCTAAAATAGGAAAATCAACATATATCAATAATCTGTTCTAATAAACACATAAATACTATCATATAGCAATATTTACATAACTCTGTGGCTCAATTTTCCACTGTATCCTTTTCACAGAAGATATACTATAAAATACCTAACACTGTGAAAAAGACACTATATTCTAGAATCTGGTAGTGTTTTCCAAGCTATAATGGCTAGCATGTTAACTGGCGACTGGATTTAGAATGATATGAAAACACTCCTTTGGGTGTGTCTCTGAAGGGAATTCAGAAAAGTTTAACTGAAGGAGGTCCACCTGGATTATTCCATGTGTTGGGGCATGTGGCTCAATAAAATGAAACTAGCATAACCCCAGCATTTCTTTCTCTCTGTTTCCTGAATCAGATACAGTGTGACCTTAAGCTGCCTTACTCTTCTGCTGTCAGGGCTTTTTACCACACCCTCCCACTGTGAGACAAAAGGAACCCAAGTCTCTTTTGTCAAGTATTCGGTCAAAGCACTAAAAGAGTACCTGATACTTAAGCATTTATAAACATTCTAATTTTTAAAATAAATAAAATCCAAACACACGGTCAATTAGATCAGGAAATACAATCACTGCACTTGCAAATGATAATACACAATTAATACAAGTTATTACATACCCAACTCAACCTGTTTCCTAATAAATAAGAGTTATGTAGAAACTGAATGCTTCCATAGTGGTTGTTTCAATTTTATTGACGTTCAGAACAACTCACACAGTCCAGAGTTTTAAATATAACTAATTTTTTCATGTGTTCTAGCATCTTAATGTTTGCTTGTGTCAAGGTATTTCTTATTTTAAGAAGAGCAGAGCTAAAAAAAAGAAGAAGAAGAAAGATGAAGAAGAAGAAGAAGAAGAAGAAGAAGAAGAAGAAGAAGAAGAAGAAGAAGAAGAAGAAGAAGAAGAAGAAGAAGAAGAAGAAGAAGAAGAAGAGCAGAGCTCCTCTGTTAAGAAGCAGCAGCGCCTTATTTCAAACTACTTCCGGCCCTTGGTCAATTAATAACATAATAAACATTATAAGCACTTCTGAAGTTCACTGAGATTAATATGTCACCTGTTCATCTTACTGAAGGTCATTAAACCTAAGGGACACTAAGGACTAGGAAACATATTCTATCATACAACTAAGGGAAACAAAAACAGTAACTGCCAATTAACTCAAAACCATTATCCCTCTCCTGGAAGTGACTGTTTCTCCTAACTATAATGTTTGAGGTTATGACAGAAAATGCTTCATTTATATGTCAAGAACAAAAAGCAGCAGAGCTTTATCTACACTACAGGTGCTGTTAGATACCATCTGTATAGAGCCTTGAAAATAATTACAACAATGTAAGTTAGCAACTATTCCTCTCACAAGGTGGAATATAAACATTGGGATAACATTTACAAATAATTAAATTTGAAAAACTTTTAATTTGTACCCAGAGCATGCTCATAAAAATATAATGTGATAATCCATTTAGATGTCTTATGCACCTTGAATCAGTTAATTCCCATCACTCTTCTCTCAATCATTTTACATTCCCATCAGCATACATTGGTTTTTGCCATATTTGTATACATAAAGCCATACAGGACATAATCCTTTGTAGCTGGCTTCTTCAATCAAGTGTTTCTAAGATTCATCCATAATGTAGGAACACAATCAGTAGTTTGTTCTCTTACTGCTGAGTGGAATCTATCATTACACAGTACTGAAAATGATTTGTTCTTGGTAATGGTGGCTGAATTTTTGAGGTGTTATAATAAAAACATGACAAGGTGGCTTATAAAACTTTTATTTCTACAAGTTAAGGTCAAACATCAAGATACTGACACACCTCAAACCCAGGGAAGAAGGATCTACTTAGTGGTTCAGCCTCCCCCCTGCACCCCATATTCTCACAGTAAAGAGAGAAAGAAGCTTGAACTGCAACAGCATTAATCCTATTACTGAGTGCAGAGTTCTCATCTTAACTAGTCCCAGTCTTACCTGCCACCCCCCTCTCTCTCTCTTGACAAAACTTAAAGAAAGAAGAGTTCAAGGGCCCAGTCGGTCCCTCATGGCTGGGAAATTTTGGCAGCAGGAGCCTGAGGAAGCTGATCACATTGCAACTACAGTCAGGAAGCAGAAAGCAATGAATGCCCTCACAGTTCACTTTTTTCATATATCTACTATAGGATCCCAGCCTGTGGAATAGTGCTGTCCAAAGATTCACTGGTCTTCCCATCTCAAATAATCTATGTAGACAATCCTTCACAGGCATGGCCAGAGGTCTGTTACCTAGGTGATTCTAGATGCTGTCGAGTTGACAGCATCTGGAGGAACAGTACATCAGACAGCTAAATATGAGGGAAAAATATTTATTTCTTCATCTATCAAGCTTTAAATGTGTTCCTAGAAATGAAGTATTTAATACTAAATCTATGTTTATCTCACTAAGAATTTATCTTAAAGTGGTATTACATTAGTAATTCACAACTGACTTTTTTTAAGAAATAGCAATTTACCATCTCTCAACTGTCACTCAGACATGATGCTTACCTCAACCTGTGTGCTGCTCACAGCACATCTTTGAATATTGGACAAAGTGAAAAAGCAATCTGAAAAAATTATTTAGATAAAACCATGTTATTTGAGATTTGTCATGGTTAATGCTGACCTTCAATGAACAGATCTAGAATGACCTAAAAGACAAGCCACCCAGCAAGTTTGTTAGATTGGGTTATCTCCCATTTAACTTCAGTTTTCAACTGTACACAACCCTGAGTTATCTGAGGGAGTCTCAACTGAGGACTGCCTGCCTAATCAGTCTGGCCTGTTGGCATGTCTGACTTGCTAACTGATGTAATAGGGCAATACAATATCTAGACAGAGGATCGTGGGCTATGTAAGAAAACTAGCTGAGCAGAAGCTGTGGACTAAGCCACTAACAGCATTCTTCCATGGTATCTGCTTAAGTTCCTGCCCTGCCTGTGTTTCTATCCCAAGTTCTCTCAATGATGAACTGTAACTTTAAAGATAAAATGAGTCCTTCCCTCTCGAAGCTGGTTTTGTTCATGGTGTTTAACGCTGCAACAGAAAGCAAAGACAAATTAAATTGGGGTGGGAAGGTCCCCACTAACTGTGGGATAACCACCATTCCATGGGCTGGGGCCCAAGTGAATGAAAAGGAAAATACAAATAGCATCCCTCTCTGCTTCCTGACTTCACTTCAACTCTGATGAGATGACTCATGTTCCTGGGCCAAGATTTCTCTGCTAGCTTAAGTTTGTTTGCTTTGTTGTTGCTGTTGTTTGTTTGGTCAATTTGACATAAGATAGAGTTATCCAGAAAGAGGAAACCTCAATTGTGAAAATACATCTATCATATGGCCTGTGGGCAAGCCTGTGCGGACATTTTCTTGGTTAATGATTGATGTGGAAGGTCCAGACCAACGGGGATGGTGACACTCCTGTGCATGTGGTCCCGGGTCATATAAAAAAGTTTGCTGAAAGCCCCACAGAGAACAAGCCAGTAAGCAGCACTCTTCCATGACTCTGCTTCAATTTCTGCCTTCACATACCCACCACCCTGCCTTCCTACCCTCACTTCCCCTCCCAGTGGAATATGATTAGGATAAGTAAGACAAATAAACCCTTTCTTTACGTATGTACGTTGGTTTTGGACAGTTTTTTTTTTTTAATCAAGGCAAACTAAAACAACCTTCCCCATCATGATAGACTATCCTCAAACTTTTGAGGAGGCATTATAAACCTTTCCTGCCTTATTACTCTACCATGGTATTGTATAACATTCCTGTGTGCTCTCACTTCCAGGCAAGAATTATGACAATTATATTTTATAGACATCTTTAAGTTTAAGAACAGTGGTATAAGTTAGCAAATTATTACTTTTAAAAACTTATTTTTCTGTTTCTAGCATGATACGTCAGAATCCTTAAGTAAGTGGGAATGTGTCAAAACAAAAAAAACCCTAAAAAGTGTTAATAAAGTCTACAAAAAAAAATCTTAGAGGCAGCTCTCTGTCCTAGAGAGCAAAAGGTAGAGAATTTTTGGACCAACACTAACCAAAGAGGAAACTCAAAAGTAGGGGGGGGGGGACTCAAAATAGTCTGTACTTGGAGAAAAAAAAATCTTCAAAGCAATTAACTATAAGCTTTGCTTTCACATTTACTGAGCTTTTACAAAAATAAGCAAAGCCCAAATTCTGCTCATAGCAGGGAATCTAATAAGCATGTCTTTCCTCATACACTGGGACTCTCTATGGTTAAACTCACCGAAAGGGTGCGTTAGAAACAAACTCATTCTCCTAAATTTCCCTGTCCCAAACCTTTACCCCTATCCTGACAACCAAAATATCTTGAAACAGCATTGACATTTAGAAAAACA